GTCTATGGAATTCTCATGCCAGGCTCCACACACTTACTTTTCCTACCTTTTTTTTTCTGCTCTTCTCTCTTTAGCTTCTAGGTCTGCTATTGTTCTTGATATTAGTACTTTGTGTGATGATGGTAACATAGAAAGAAAATGTTCTGAGGACCAGTACTATGTTTGAAGCAGCATGCTTTGTAATCCATCTCCTTGGCAACATCATCAGTTAGAAAATTCCACTACTCTTAGTTATCAGTAAGGAAACTAAGTCTCATATCTATAGCTCAATAGTAAGTTATCAATTGCATCGTGCTTATCATTCCTCATATTTTATGTTATTAATGATGAAAAATCTAAACATTCAGAATCATCCAAGTAACTAGAGATCATCTCTCCTGTAGAGAGAAAAAACATGTAATTGAAAAATCCAATAGGATTTTTATGCTGAGTATTCTTCTTTGTGAATCTACTTAAAATCTTCCATAAAGCTGCAACTTTTTGGATTTACTGAGAAATGAGTCAGCAAAGATTACAGGAAGTCACCAAGAGATTATACAGTAAGAACGATAAATTGTCAACAATGCAAAAATAGAAGATGAAAACAGAAGCTTTTTTTTTTCAAAAGTGCAAACCAAATCTGTGCTGGAGTGTGAATGTGTCTATCTGTGCATAAAAACCTGGTATGAAATGACTGGTTCTCGTTTTTATCAATGGTGAGTGCCTCTGCTTCTAAATAATCAGTGAGGATCACAGGCGATAAATGCAACCAAAGCGACTGGTACTGATTGCTGTGGTGGAAGCATTTGATAAAAAGACCTCATAAGCAGCAGTGCCCACAACCAGCTCATTTAGCTTCTGTGAGTAGAGACCCACATTATATCTCTAAAAGATTAAGTTCAGTAATGGTTTAGTAATTACCTGGCATTTCCTGTCTTTGATGGTCAACGTTTCTGAAATTTCCTCTACCCCAATATTTAAATAAAATTTAAAAATGTTTATGTGCAAAAATCCCCTCCCTTCCCCTACCTCAGAGTCCCTTACCACTAGTGAAAGCTCACATGGCCTTTGTTTTTCATGGGTTTCAGTTTGAGGCCGAATGACTGGGTAAGGACAAGAGCTATTGGAATGAAGCCCATGGTCACCTCACACTGTATACTATGCCATACAAATGTAGACCACAAGAACTCAGAAGGTCTAGAATTACCACCCTTTGAACATCACTGAGGAAGAGGAAGGTAGAACTGGACACAAAAGATCCTGCTCTGGCCTGTGCCTTCATGGAGGCTCAAGAAACCTAGCTAAACAGCCAATTAGCTAAGAGCTAATCTAGTTTTGTGCTCTACAGACTCTGGCTGTATTTTCTTACTTCAGGTTTCTTTTAAATTTTGCTTCAATAATTGCTCTCAGTTTTATTAATTCAGAAACTTGTTTGGATGAATACTTTTCCTAAACAGTCTAGTAGGCAGCCCCAGAGCAGCAGTATTTCAGCATCTCCAGCATGCCTCTAAGCCCAGAAAAAAATCTGTCCCGCTTCCAATGGATCCTCCTTGAACAGAAGGAAAAGTTTCTATCAAAACTTAAATCCAAGTCAAGGAGAAAGTGCTAGCAATGATTTCAGTGTAACCCCCACCCCTACCCGGCTTCTGTCACATTGCATTCTGCCTCCTCTTCCTGCTTCTGGCTCAATCATATACATCCTCATCTATTTCACTGCACTCCACCATGGATCTTTTCTGATGTTCCAATGATGCAAATATTCTCACCAAATATCTTGAGAAAACTGGGAGATTTCAGATAAGACAAAGATATTCTCCCTTAAGAATTAAAGTTAAGAAGATGGGCTGGGAATATGGCTCAATGGCTTAATGCTTGCCTACCATGGATAAAGCTTTTTTTTTTTATTGCAAACATCTATTTATTTTATAAACTTAAGATTTTTTTTCATTTTTTTATTAAGAAATTTTCTACTCACTCCACATACTATCCACAACTCCCTCTCCTCCTTCCTCCCACCCTCCAGCCCTCTTTCACAAGACACCCCACATCCCCACATCCCCCAAATCAAGGTCTCCCATGGGGAGTCAGCAGAGCCCAGCACACTGAGCCTAGGCAGATCCAAGCCCCTTCCCACTGCACCAAGGCTGTACAAGGTGTCACACCATGGGTATAGGAAGAGGCAGGGTGCTGGGGAGGCTCTCAGGAATCCACAAGGTTGACCCCACCTTGGTCTGCTGGCAGTGGTCCGGAGGGTGCCTGGACCGGTCTACTCTGGATAAGGCTCTTAACAAAAGCTAAAGTCAAGAAGGTGCAATGTACAAGCTGAAAATTAAAAAGCTAGACAATGAGAGGAAGTGAGTGATGGCAAGAGAGTGAAAAGGAAGAGGGACTAAGTCCCTCAGAGGTTATGGAATCCTTCTTTCTTAGGGATTTAGAGAATGAATATAATCATGCCAAGGAGCTGGGGGAGAATAGGCCAAATACAATGGCTTCAGGAGTAAACATTAAGACTGGGTGCAGGATGGTGGCTTGAAAGAAAAAATACTCAGGGAAGCATAGTAATTAGCCTGTGTCATAAAAATAAGACTGGGCACACACATTTTATCCCAACACTTTCAGTGGCAAAGGAAGGCAGACTTTTGTGAGTTCAAGTTCATCTGGTCTACATAGTGAGTTCTGGGACAGTCAGGGTTACATAATGAGAACTCTGTACAAAACGAAAAAAAAAAGGAAAGAAAAAGGAAAAAGAAAAGAAGCAAAATAAGATCATAATTGGTGTTTAATAAATAATAGTGTACTGAGTTCAGAGGCTGCACGAGAGCAAGCGTGATGGCCTCTGCTTCAAGCTATGTGGGCCGGCTTTCTTGGAGGCAACTGTTAGTCGCTCTATTGAGACAACTTACAGAGTTTTTGTGGACAGGCCATCTTCTCCATTTAAAAAACCAAGAACCTGTGCAGTTTTATCATTGCTAAGTGGTTAAAACAATTACAAAACTCCCCAGTTTATTACTCTTGACTAGGCAACTCAAGGACACATTCAGATATTTATGTTTCCCCAACAATTACAAGATCATTTGCAAGAGAGAGGGCATGTGGGAGAGAAAAATTAAATATAAAATCATAGAATCAAAGAAAATAACTTGATCTAGCAAGTTTTATGTCAAAGATTTTTTCCCCTGGTAATATACATTAACTTTTCTAATCAATTTGATGTAGTACCTTTAAAATGAATTTAAGACCATATACATCTTTCAAAGTAAAAGTGGGAGAGTTAGAAATATAGACACTATTTTTATATCTACTGGTTTGAGCACAAATAAGCTTCACAAATTCTGGAGAAAGACATTTTTGTATTAAGAAGCACATTTTTAGGTGATATTAATTACAGGTCTCTAGCTACTGAAAGCAGGCCCATCACCCAGTAAAAGGACCTAAAAGCTAAGCATGTAGATTCTGTAGGAATCTCAAGTTAGACAAAGAATAAAGCAGTTAGACATGAGAGGATTTGCTTGCTAACTGGTCCCATGAAGATAAATAGCAAATTTAAAACCCCACGAATTAACTGCTAATGACTGATTTTTTCGTGTGATTCTCATATAGCAGTAAAATTTGCAAAATTATTCCAACTGCAAATCATCAGCTGCTGGTCAGACATTTCTGACTAAGGATGGATTATGTGATTAAGGGTACATCATTTACCAATAGTGTGGCTATAGACTTCACCTCAACTCTGAAGGAGCATTCCAATTTTGTGTATCTAAACATCCTACTACAAAGCACATGAGTGGAGGTGTCTACAGACATGCTTAAGTAAAGCAAAACAGTCTTAATTCTTTCTGTTATGATGACGCAAGCAAGTGCTACACATTCCTGGAGGACCGATGCCGTGCTGGATGTACTAGAGAATAAAAGCTTTTGGAAATGATACAGGTTCCAAGTCCTTTGGCTAATTCCACTGGGATCATTCAAGAGCTTGGATGGGGGAGGTGAGGGCAAGGGAAGAGAGAATCCAGATATCACTGCTGTTGTAATTATTACGTTCCCTATGGTATGGGATACTGAAAATGAATGTTTCCTCTCTTACAAGGATAGAGACCTTTCCTGCTGCAAAGCCATTAGCATATATAATGCACTTGTCTGGAAATCATGGCTTCTCTGTCATGCTTGGGAGACCTTTAGGGACCTGGGTTATTGTATAACCCTGAATTATAGAAAATGCATAATTTGCAGTCCTCCAGTTTTCCAGCTTATTTAAAAGAACCAGTTTAAGCAATTTCACCTATATCTAATGGCTCAGTTCCCCCCACAACAAGTAAAAGTGTTTACATTATCTTAATTCTGTACAAAATTTTTGTAAACTTACAAATAAAAAAGCATATTAAGGTATTTCATCTATGCCAGTATCTGTGAGTAGTAGTTGATAATTTAAAACCAAATTCTAGAAAGCTGTTAACACTTCTTTCAACACAAATAAACAAGTCTCTCAGAAGTCAAAACATATAAGACTCCTGAGCAGCTTGCGTGGTCGTAAAGCACGTAAAGTCACAGAGATTAAAGGCCACCAATGTGCACCTTCTGTACAAAGCCATCTCCTCCCTCACCTCAGAGACAGGAATTGCACCTCAGTAGAGTCTACGCTTCTTTCTGATTTCAGTTCTTTCATCCCCAAAATGGAATAAAATAAGAATTGCTACTTCCCTTATTCAGTTTTATTTCAACCAATGTCACTTTAACATATTTTAAATAGTCTGTATAATTTTTTTTTAAGTGAAAGGGCCATTCTGATGTTAATTTGGATCAATCTTCCAAACATATGATTCTGGGTTTTTAAAAAGGGCCCACTAGAGGGGCTTTTTAAAAGTGAACAAAAAAGCACCCCGAGGCTGTCCAATTCACATTTAACCTACTTACATGAAAAGGGAACTACTTTGGTTAAGAATAACTTGCGCACGCTCAGGTTCAAGCTAAACAGGCCAGTGTATTAGTGAGGGAATGAGGCAGCAAATAGCAGCTCCTTCACATGAGCGGAAGAATACTGTGTTTATTTAAAATAGCTGGCACAAATTCTCATTTCAATTAAATTACATTTACTAAAATAACATTTTCATAATTAAAAACATGCAAAAAGTCATTTTTTCCCCAAAGTGCTAACAAAAAATAATCACAGTAGTTTAAAATGGGCAAAGGGGGTAAGATAATTGTTAAGAATAAATGTGACTAATTTTGGGTTACAATTGCACATTAGTTCAGTGGTTTTCAGTGATTCAGAAGCCATTATCATCCTCTGTTGCTAAGTAAAGTTAATACAAATAGGTACCAAGTTTTGTTATGAATGCTTTTTTTACAGGAAGTAACAGTACAAGTTCATATCTTATATTTTTACTGCTGGTATATTACAACCATAGAATATTATCTTAGGTTAGATTAAAACAACTTGATCTGACCTCTTCCTTTTACAAACGAGGAAACTTAGATCCAGAAATGTTAAATGCCTTGTTCTTAGTCATTTAGCTAGTTAGAACCTGTGCTGGCATCGAACAGTTTCCACTGCGCAACTCTGCAGCATGGAAACAGCCATAGCTCACAGAAGCCAGAGGAAAAACGACAAAAGAGTGTACCGTCTCTGTGAATTACGGTGGAAAATGAAATTCCACTGCAAGTCTGTTGACTTCTTCCACTCTGCCTCTTCCTGAAAGCTCCTACGTGAGCCAAAATTCATGTTCCAATGAAAACAAAGATTATCTAGTAAATCAGGTTAAGTCTCACACATTGATAAGGCCAATAAGTAATAACATGTCCAATATTTACCAATGGTAGTTTGAATGAGAATTTACAAATTTTCCACGAATAAAACAAACCCAGTGGCAAAAGCTGAATTCTTCCATGTAGACAAAGGATTGTGAAACCAGTGCAATGTTCAAGCCATCAGGAAAGGTACACAGGAAAGAAGGAGGGACATTTAAATGAGGAGGCAAAGTATACCAAACCACAAGGAAAACAGACCCACCCCTTCCTTCTTGGATGTTGCTGAATGGCAGTCTTGTAGAGAGTGAAAAGCATCATATGACCTACTGGTGCCAAATAAAGTTTCCGTCATTCAGAGATGACTTACAATAGTTTTATACATGTGTAGCCTAAGAACTTAATGAACAAATATGTCACAGTGAAGCCTAGACGAGCTGTACAAAAGGAACAGTGCTGAGCTTTCATTAGCTTCCTTCTCTATTATTAGGTCACATTCAAGCAGAAATAAGCGAAACCATCACACAACAGTTGCGGGTTCAGAACAGATTAATAACAGAGTAAATGTTCTTGTAATATTAACTAGTTGCGAGACACACACACACACACACACACACACACACACACACACACACACACACACACACACACGAATAACCAAATAACAGCTACATGTTGGATCCCATAATGCTGAGTATTTGTAACACTAACTAACACAAAGAGTTGCTATCGTTTACTAAGTATGAAGTGGCTGCCTCCTCTGCTAACTAGTTTGAACATCTTACAGTATTTTAAATATGTTTCACAAATTCTTTGCACTGAAAGGTTTCCCAATATTATTTTGGTACCAACTTCTTACTTTTGCTGCCCTGGGTAATGTTCAATAGAATACGGTAAGAGGGCCTTTTAGACTCAGAAGGACTTGACTACTGTTAAGAAAAAAAGTAAACAAAATTTCTCCCCAAGAGTCTAATTTGCAAATTAATTTCCTTGTTCACTGTCAGTTACTCTCAGCTTACAAGCTGGGGGTCAACCTCATTAAGAACAAAAGCTTATTATGACTAAAATGCAGCAAAACCCAACCTTAATAAAAAAAATAATGCTCAACATTTCATAGCATCCAACCCAAAGCAGTAAACATATCCATATTATGCAAAGCATGCTCCAGAGAACACTAATGTGCTTGGGATTATTAATAGATATTGGGGTGAAGGAGGAGAGCTTTGGAAAACACTGAGGTATGTACCAACAAAATACACAAGGCCTTTTCGGCAGCTCTTGGGATTTTTAATTCTATTGCAAATCCAGAAGTGGGGGGTCGCAGAGGAGAAGTAATGTTATCACTTTTAACTTTGAGAAAACTGAAAATATAGAAAAACAAATTTTCTAGAACTCTATCTGTGTATACAAAACAAAAAACAAAGATAGACTCTAACAATTAGCCCAGTTTAAACCCAGCAATGGGCTGGGGTGTGGATCAGTGATAACTTGCCTAGCATGCCTATGTGCAAAGTCTTGAACTTGACCCCCCGCCATGGCAAAACAAACCAATATAAATTTAAAAGTCACTATAATAAAAAGCACAGAACATGACTATTTCTAAACACATTCCCTCCTTGCTTCCAAGTCTTGGAAACTTGACACAAACAGTTTCAGAAAGGTGAGCTGGCCAAAGCTACTCAGGTAAATGGCTGAGACAGGCCATCACACCACAGTCCTGCCTCCTTCCATTACCTACAGTTGCTTCACCCATGATTAGAACCACGACAATTTTTTTTTTTAAAGATTCCTTCTTTTCTACTAATTTGCACCTTTAAATTTTTCATACCTCTTTCTCTGGTCAAAATGTTATTATGCTTCTTTACTTTCCAAGATTATAAAACTCTTACCTATCATTTCAGTTCTGGTATGAAAATGTGAGGTTAGAGTAATTATGACATAGAAAAGTAAGTAATCTAATCATGGGACTTAATCAATCACTTGTGAATATTACACAATAATGGAGTGTGCTCGTGATTTTTAAAGGCTCTTTTGATTAATAAATAATAAGTAGGTGACGTTACTATAATTAGCATGCATTTATAAAAAATACTTCATTCTTTCACATTTAACATTCATATAGACCTTTCATCCTTCTTTAATTTATTTTTTTGTTTATTTATAGAGTTCTAGAGATCACACATGTATGTCAGGCATACTCACTGTGGAGCTCCACCTCCAAACCCTTGTAATATCTTTGTGTTTGTTTTCATAAACACTACAATGAATCATGCTAATTTCAGCACAAAAAATTTTTTAAACTTTTTGCTTCTCATTTTTTTTTGAGTTAGCATTCAAGGTAATGGGTTCAGTTGTATCACTTTTACACCTCTATGTTATTATACTTTGTTCTTATTCATTCCCTCGTGCCAAACAACAAAGACCTTTCTACACAGAACTGAGAACTGGCATAGTAAAGCATCAGTGGCTTTACTATGGGACTCCTTTAGTTTTCTCATGGGAGAGAAGGTTTTACAAAAGAAGAGATAGAGTATGAAAAGGGAAGGAGGAACACAGGAAGAAAAGGGGAGGACATGATGAGAAGAAGGAGGAAATGCAAAAGAAAGGAAAAGGAAAGGCTGCTGCTGCTGTTGATGGTGATGAAGGTGATGATGATGATGGTGGTGGTGAGGAGGAGGAGGAGGAGGAGGAGGAGAAGGAGGAGGAGGAGTGCCACAGGAAAAAACTTTTACCAAGACCTACTTCATACTAGGCATTCCAGACATCTTCAGTTTCTGTCCATTCAATCTTTATACAACCCTATCTTGGAAAAACCTTCCCTTTAAAGAGGAAGAAACAGAGGTGTGGGCAGGTGAAACAACTTGCTACCGTCACATAAATATTGGCGCTTAGCCACGTGCCCAGCTAAGCTGACTGTGAAACACGGACTTATAACCACAACACTACACTACTGTCTGCCCCGAAGAGATTCACACAAGTGCCTATGAACCCAGTGGAATTGTATGAAGCCACTGTAGGGTCTGTAAGGCATGGTAGATAAACTTCTTGGAAGGAGGGATGCGGAAGAGTTCAGGAGAATGATCTAGATGGAACATGGAGAAGACATCTGAGTCACAGAGGGTTGTGCATGTGGATTCAAAGGGTGGGTTCACACATGAAGGCTCCAAGGCATTCTTCCTGCTATAAGAGCTCTTGAGAAGGTGAGATTGTGCCAGGGGAGCCTGTGTGCCTGGAAACATAGTCAATGGCAGGAGGACTGTATACTTGTGGGACCCAGTGCAAAATCACAGCGTAGACTGGAGAGTCAACAGTAAAAAACAACCAGGAGTGGCAAGCGAGACGGAAAGCTGTTCATTAGCATGGAGGCATTAGTCATCTACTGAGTTTGTTGATTGCATTCGTTTTTTTATTTTTTCATTAATATGAGATAGGGTTGCCTTGAACTCATCATGTAGCTGAAGATGGCCTTGAACTCTGATCTCCTTCCTCAGCCTTTGAGTACTAGGATTACATGTCTCTGGTATCATACCCTGCTAGTTCATTGGCTTAAGGAGGTGTTAGATGTTGAATGACTACCTTCCCTCTTAGGACCTAGTTTGGGTTTACTGTTAATGGATGTAATTCTCCATATTAGTGATTACAGTGAGGAAACCAGCTGAACTGGGGAAAGGTGTTATGTTTGAACCTTGTGTTTTAAGATTCAAGGTATTCAATTACAGATGCCTGTTGAATATGGAGCTTTAGAAATGAGGTTGTAGAAAGAATGTTAGAGGCATTAGTTATGCACAGCAGTCGAAGCCACTGTTTGAGATCAATTAACATGGAAAACAATAAATTTACAGAAAAGAAACCCCAAAGTGAGTCCTGGGGAAGGCTGACACTTTATAACAATGGCTAAGAACCTCACAGTTTACAAGTTATGCATATGTCAGCTTCAGAGAGACCCAGAATAGACCCTGATTTTGAGTAAAATGGGATTGTTTCACTGAGCTAAGAGGTCTTCCAAAGATAAGGAAACTGGGAAGAAAAATCTAGAAAGATGTAAGACGCACCCACAGTGCATGGCATAGTGGGTAAATCTCTGCAGGGAAGGGTTCCAAAGGCAAAGTGTTCAGTGCATTTGGTGACATAGAGATCACTGTTGACCTCTGAGCACGACAAGGGCCAAATAAATCGGTAGGGTAATGAAGGGTCAACGAGGTGAAGGTACACTTCCATGAGCACCCGACCTTTCCAATGCTTGGAGGGAACTGGAAAAAGAAAAAAGAAATAGAAGAGAGAGTTCAAGAGCCAGCTCAGTTCCTGTCCTTGTAGTTTCAAGATTAAAGGGACATGCACACATGCATATGGTGAGAGATAAGAACATGCAGAGACCAAAGCTGGAGACACAGGCAAGAGAACACTGGTAGACTGACCAAAGTTCCCACGGATGAGAAAAGTGACTTGCTGTCGCTGTGGTAAAGATGCTGACCAAAAGCACCTAGGGAGGAAATCCAAATCCCAATCAATGACAGAGGGCTGCAACCCAGGTTAGGCAGGTGCACAGAGCAGGAACTGCAGCAGAGAACATGGGGAGACGCTGCATACTGGCTTACTTGTCGGCTCACATTCAACTACCTTTTTCACACCTCCCAAGGCTACCTGCCCAGGGGTGGTGCCACACACTGTGGGCTGTGCCCTTCCACATCAGTAATTAATCAAGGGGGGAAAAGTTCCACAGCCTTCCTTATAAGCAATCTGGTGGAGTCATCTCCAGGTTCCCTCTTTCCAAATGACTGGTTTGCGTCAAGGTGACAAAAACTAGCCAGCCCAGAAGAACACCCCTTACTCAGGTGGAAGAGCACCAGAAAGGATGAGCACTGGTGTGGAAGGACAGGATGAGGTGTTCTGGCTATAAGGCCGGCTCTTTCACATGCAGCAGGTTTGCAACCCTTCTGGGAAATGAGGAGGCAAGCGCAGCATTAAGTTCTGAAAAGTGATAAAAATGTGCAGTTAATCTTGAAGCGAATGGGAAAAGTGGTTGATATTGTCACAAAATTGTGTACTAAACAAAGGTTTTTAAAACCTTATAAGAAAAGTTAATTGCAGATAAAGGTAGAATATCTTTCAACATAGAGAGCTGTTCCCAATCTCTCACACAGGGATACAGCCACACATGGGAACCATTATCAACTACCTACCAATTTCAATTTGTTAGATACATACACACATACATGCACATATGTGTATATATGGATGTATTTCCATGTATATATACAAATACACACACACACACACACACACACACACACACACACACACACACACATCCTTTGTGCCTTTCAGTGATTATGAGGAAAGTCCACAGACATGGCATTAGTTTGTAAAGGGAAGGCAAGTTTAATGTCTACTCCACTGGGAAGAGTAGAGCAAATCACTTTGGTCTCAATGCTGATACTCAGTGCACTCATGAGTGGAAACACTCCCTCAGTTTCATGTGCAGCGAAACACATGTCAGCTGCTTGGGTCTTAGAAACAGAACAGTTTGCAAAGCTTCCTGTGAAACACTCCAGTCTGATGTCTCCCCCCTCAGAGAGAGGATGTTCCACTCTCAATTAATTGTTCAGTTATCAAGTTCCAATAGCAGCTGGCTTTAGTTATGCTTTAATTGAAAAGATGCTGCAGTTGTAAGAAAAAGGTATTAAAAAGCTATTTAGAATATACAGGAAAGCATGTGATTAAGATTAGAGACAAAGACTAAAATCCCTCGGTAGGAGACAGCCATGCAAATGTTCAACTAGGGAAACAAGAGTGAACGGACATATGAGCAGTCACCTATGAGAAGCATCCAGGGAGGGGGCTGGGACAGGGTATGCATAGGCTTGCTGCCCAGGCATCAGTTGGATAGTGGTGACCATCTACTGAGGGATTTCATCAAATCATTTACTCTGTCATGCTGTGGTGTGGTTCTGAGGAACTATGGCTTGTGAAGACCAATCTGGACAACTTAGAAACTTAAAATCCCAGTTGTTCTGTAACTTCCATTTTTTTTTTAATTTTCACGTAACACCTTCAAATGGAGTATTATGCAACACTCACATAATTTTGCGATGTGATTAAATAAATGAGATTAAATGAGAATAAATAAGTAAAAAAAAAAACCCACTGGACTTTCATTTTTTTAGAGACCAGAGTTTCTCTGAGGTTTTAGATTCTTCCTTTTACCTAGCCAAAATCCACTGTCATTCAAGGATCCATTTTTCTTTTCTTGCAAGTGCATGAATAAATAGATCTGTATACTATCCAAAGATGAAAGCAAGATTTCTGCAATGCTAATCAATGCAAGAATGCTTGTTAGGAGTGTATTATTCCTTGACTGGCAAGTCATAATGACCTGGGCATAAAACATGGTGCACTGATGTCGCTTCGTACATTTTCTCTGTGAGACTCTGTTTTATTTTTTAAGCACTTAGTAGAGGTTTTCCACTGATGAACTCTAGTAGATCAATAATGTCAACCACAAAACACAGGAAGGGATCCAGCTAAAAATTAAGGCCTGTGGAAGATAACACTTAATTGCCAGGCGGTGGTGGCACACACCTTTAATCCCAGCACTTGGAAGGCAGAGGCAGGCGAATCTCTGTGAGTTCAAGGCCAGCTTGGTCTACAAAGAGAGTTCCAAGACAGCCAGGTCTGTTACACAGTGAAATCCTGTCTCAAAAACAAAAACAAACAACAACAACAAAAATAAGAAGCTGACTCTTCAGGGCCAAGGCTGTAACTCAGTGGTAGAGCATGTGTCTAACACATACAAGGTCCTGAGCTCAATCCCCAGCACTAAAAACACTGTGAAATAATGATATGCATATCTTATGCCAATCATCAGGAAAGAGCTCAGGGACTTGGTGCTTACCCTCTTGCTCTGCACAGAGTGACAAAGGTACACACCACACAAATGTGAAGATACAAAAATCCACGTAGACCGTGACACTATCTTTCCTAGCTATAGTATCTTAGGTTTGAAAACATGACAGAGCATTTTTGTCATTTCCCACCTAAAATTATTTGCAATTCTTCCATTTTTATGTCACAGTTATGTCAAGTGTCCAAAGTTTAAAATATTTTAAATAGGAAAAATATCTATTACTGACACCATCTAAAAGCTTGTAGTAATTTTATTTTCTGTTCACATTTTCATTAAACTTCCTATTACTTTTTACTTGACATTTATTTAACTCCATTGTTGAACTCTAATACATGTATTTATAATACTGGATATCTATGCAATTCTGCTAACCTACACTAAAAATTTGAGTGGGCAACTACTTGACAATAGTTTTATGAACAAGTAACTCATCTGTCATGGCTCTCCTCTAAATGCTTAGGAAGATCATGGCCACTGTGAAACTAAAGACAAACCATTCCCCTTGACAGCATACACACTGTCCATCTTTTACTTCACTTTATTTTATGTTATTTTACTTTATTTAATTTTTATGGCATGCTGGAGATGGAACTCCAGGCCTCCTACATGCAAACATACTCAGAAAAAAATGTTTCTCAGACATGAAAAGGCTGCTCACTACACCCTAGTCCTGTGCTTGTTTTTTTGATGGGACTTATCCCAGCATAGTGACAAACTGGAGTCGAATTCTGAACTGAAGCTTCAAACACCCAAAGCCTTCAACATTACGCCTGGAAACATGCACAGCTTTCTAATGCTCTTTATCATTTTAGAAGAAGTTTGAAACATCTTAGGCATCAGCATTATTACCTTGCTAAGACTGCACAACAATTGCGACCCACACATCTTATCAAATCCCTTTGTTATGTCATAGCAACCCTGAGAAAAGCCTGAAGTCAGGAGGGGAATGGAGCACAACAACAATGTCATGTATCCAATATATATATACCGGCTCTGCAGCTGCCACTAAAGGTAGATTTCACTAAATCTCAATCTATTTCTAAATAAGACTCAAGATTCATAGGCTGGGGTGAAAACCCACTAGCTCCGAGAGGCTGAATAGCACCTAGCTAAACTTGTCTCCTTGCCGGCATCTCTGAAACTAAAACACAAACAAACAATCAAAGAAAAAACAACAACAAACCATCCTTCAGCTCCTCCAAATTAAAAAAAGAAAAGAAAGAAAACCTCACCACTGTAAATCCCCCTACTTCTTCCTGTGTGTCTCTGTCTCTCTATCTTTTCCAGGTGCCTCTGATGCTCTATGATTACTTTCTGTCAACTAGTTGCTAACTCAGCCTCCTGACCCAAGGTTAATTTTATTTAATTAATGCAAATGCAAACTCAGGATTCACAGTGTGATCAAATATCCCCCAAAATCTTACTTTTAGTTTTTCTATCACAAAATTCTAGTGGTTTAGATATTATTAATGGATACTTTCCCAGAAAAGCAAACACAAACCCATGAGCTGGAGAAGAATGTCCATGGTCTCCGTAAACCTATGTAAAGGAAGTTGAGTCTTCCCTTCGACAGGTGTAAAAGACACAACTTAAACAATATTAACTACACACCTAAAAGTTATCCATCACTCTCAGTCTTCCCTTCTGTCCTCTAGTGAACCTAAAATGCATTCATGAGTTGTGACTGGGCAATCCTTACAAAGCCCTTCATCTAAATTACCATTGCAGTAAATCCAGAAGGACTCAAGTGTTATCATACACAGATGAAGCATTAGTTTTCAAACCTTGCAAACCATGCTCCCATTTTTCACTCTTTCCTTGATATTTATATAGTTTGTATTTTTAAAAACATTCATTGTTCAGATAATAATTTCAAATTTTCTCTCCAAACCATTGTAATAACCATTGTCAGAGAATAAATAACTTTGGGGAGCCATTTAATTTCTCAGTTTTTTTTTTTTCCAACAAGTCTGCTTATTGTCTAAACTAGCATCTTTTAAGGATCCATTAAAAAAAAAGGAATAGAATTACATTCTCTAGTACTGTTGGACAGATACAAAATAGGTGCTGAGTAGTAAAGGTATCTCCTACATAAGATCAATATATTTACACTCAGCCCACAGTTGAATTATGGGAAAGGAGCAAAGAAGCAGGTATACCGGGTGAAGCTTCTTCCATTTCTGAAAGCTGATCACTGATGGGTAGTAAGCATTTCTGTCATGCATGTTCTAAGATATCCAGATTGTTTCACATGAAAAATGTCTGATTCTTGAGGAATGTGCAGCTGCACCAGGCACAGGGTTTTATGCAGTTACTAAAGAGAAGAGAAAAATTATGATGCAGGAAGCTAAGCTTATCTGTTAGTTTGTGGCCACAACCCACTCTGAAGACACAGACTGCAGAGAAAGAGTCTGCTAGGCACACAACCAGGATATGGCAGCCACTAAAACATGAAATTGGGCATAGTCCAATAAGACAAACTGTCATCTATTAATAAGATAAAGAAAAAAGTACAAAGAGGAACCCCAGAGTTTTATCCTGAAGGTCCAGGAGAACAAAGATGCTAATGCCATAACTAGAAAAAGAAATAGTTGATGAGTGTTTTCTTGGGCGTGTATACCTGAAAACACCTAGGATATCTTAGAACATGGGCATGATATTCTCAAAATAGGATGCCGTGGCATATGGAAGATGCTGAACTGAAGATGCTGAACTGAAGGGATCTGAGAGACAGACGGTGTGAGAGTCTAATGGGGGAGATAACACCCATACCAGGAGGAAACAGTTGCCCTTACTTCTAAACACTGAAAGACACTGAAATAGAACTTCAACTAAGATTCCTTTGGTCCATAACACAAAGCTCACACCCCTTCTATCCAGGATCCATCCAAACCAGGATGAAAACCCCCAAATTAATACCTGTAGCTTCAGGTGTTCACTGCCTTACGGAGGTGTCAGTGCCATACAAAACTCTTTCAATTCACTGCATGCTTTTTTCTGGTGGTCTCTTTTTGTTGTATTTGTCCCAGCAGAAAACCCGAAAGGGTAGAAGAAAAAGCTGT